TAGTTTGATAAACTGAATGCATCAATTAATGAATTAATTAAATTTATCTTCAGCGAGTCCAACCGAACCCAATCCAAAACAACGATCGTTGTTCCTTCCTTCACGTTTGCAATGTTCCAAGCTGCACCTACCCCTATTTTTTCAAAACAAACATCGCAATTTAATTAAGAAAAAATAAAATTGTCCCAAAAAGCTAATCAAAGACATTTGGCTCATGTGACTTTTTTCTTCTTTATTTTAAAATATATATGTTGTTATTTGAAAAACACATATTTATAAACTTAAGATGGTGAGCGGATCATATTTGTTTACCGTTAATTACATTACAATCCGATTTTGAAATAAAAATATTTGTTTACAATTATAATCTGATTGGTAGGTTATATTCCTATTATAGAATTTTTGTCTAATTCTAAATTGGATTGAAAGAGACAGAAAAAAAGAAGTATGTTTGGGAAAAGCAATTTAAAAGTCTTTTCAAAATGAAGACCAACATATATGCTCTAAATTGAACTAGAAAAGATCATTGAACGATCCCAAAAAAGTCACTATAATTGCTATACAAAAAGTAGATAAGTTTTCAAAAGATTCAAAAATTTATGGATCGCATATCCATGAATTCAGTTACTAGATATGAGTAATTAAGTAACTAACCAGTGGAGACGCCACAACTCAAGAGGCTCATATGCTTGAGAGGAGCTTTAGGATCGATCTTGACAACACAAGCCGAATCCAAAACAGTGTACTCGGTGAATGTTGAAGTGTTAAGGAAGTGATAAATTGGTTGGCTCTGGCTTGAATCACCGTCCTTGATTGTGGTGGTGGAGAATCTCGTCCCTCCATCACTTACCATCACTCTCTTCATAGGATCCACATGATATTTTTCACAAAGATTACTCTCTTCTTTTTTACACACTCTACATTCACCACATTCTCCATTAAAAACTGGAATCACATAGTCTCCTTCTTTAACATCTTTAACTCCTTCTCCTACACTTTCCACCACCCTATTATATCCCAAAAACATACAAAATATATAATACATGTTAATTATGGTTGCGTGTAGGTTTTAAAAGAGAGATATTAAGATAAAAAGTGATATATACCCGACAGCTTCGTGGCCAAGAATCCTTGGAAATGCTCGCTCAGCTTCGTTCTTTAGAAAAATGATATTATGAGTAGATTAAAATGTTAATGAATTTATGTAGGATTCCTAGTTGGTGATTTTTTATAATTATTTTGAGTATAAGTGTAGTACCACGCCAGTCCATGCTCCAAGATCGGTGTGGCAAATGGAGGAGTAAAGGATTTTAACTCGGACTTCCATCTTTTGAGGAGGATCAACGCATATATCTTGTATAACAAGCGGCTCTTTTGGACCCCATGCAACAGCAGCTACATAAAAAA